GGGTTTCTTCGCTCGAGCGAGGCTTTCTGTGCTCGAGCGAGCCTTGTGTAATCTACTTCTTCGCTCGAGTGAGGATTCTTGCGCTCGAGCGAGAATTGATAGTTCTCAGATTTCCTTCCAGACGCAGCTTTTCTGGGAAGAGGGAAGTTCTTCGCTCAAGCGAGGCTTCTTGCGCTCGAGCGAGCCTTATTGCGCTCGAGTGAGCTTTGTGTTAGTTATTCCTACGCTCGAACGAGGCTTCTTGCGCTCAAGAGTGCGCTTAAATGTACCTCGTATTTCTTAAATTTTGTTTAATATTTAGCATGACCCATATAATGGTTATAAATTGTAAGTAAAATTTTAAATTATTAACTTAAAATAAGTTGTAAATTTATTTGGTGCAGTGTAGTTTTCGATAATCTATATAACATTTTTATTGTGTAAATATTTATAATGCCTCAAAAGGATGGTGGAGTTTGATATGTATTATTGTTTAAGAATCAGATTTTGGAAATGTGTATCTTTACCTTTTGAAACCCTAAGTCCCAAAATCAACCAACTTCAACACTTTATCAAAACTACCAATAATCTATGTCGAAGACCATAATAGTGAGTAGGAATCCCTACCTCAAATTCGGAGCCCAAGGGAAAAAGATGAAGAAAAACCCAAAAGTCGATGGAAGAGAAACCAAGCTTTGCTCCAATCAAAATGAAGCCCTCGACAAGCTCTACACTTTATCTCAAAGGAGCAAGGTGAGCAGAGGTCTCCAAACAGGTAGATCTATGGATCTTTGAGTATAAAGTGCCTTGTGAGAGAGAGAGAAGGTGTTTCATGGTTTAGAGAGAGGAAGGGGAAGAAAAAGTGAAAGAAAAGGTTAAGTGAGGGCCTTTATATAGTACTAGGTCAAAAATAGATATAAGCCCCAAAGTCAACTCAAAATATCTAGTCAAAATATCCCCAAAAAGTAGGTCCAAACCGTGAGAAAAATCTGGGAAAAAGTCGCAGGTGTCGACCCGTTCACAACACATGGTGTCGACACCTACGAAGAAAATCTGGAACACTAAGTGTGACTGCACTGCAGGTGTCGACCCTTCCCTAGGCTGGTTGTCGACACCCATTAATGCAGTGAGGCAATTTCAGAACCAAGGGTCGACCCTTCCACAGATTTGGCGATTTGTCGACCCTTGCGGCCAACCAAAAGAGAAGGTGTCGACACCACCAAGGCTGGTGTCGACACCAAAATGCAGTGAACAAATTCAGAACAAGGGTCGACCCTTCCCAGCTTTGGTTTCGACCCTTATGGCAAACAAAAGAGAAGGTGTCGACACCACTAAGACCGGTGTCAACCCCAGAACATGATTTTCAAGTTTCCAAACAACTTTTCAACGCGAACGAGCGTGAACGAGCAATCCCAACAAGTTTAAATCAATTTGTACACCTCCAAAACTGAGGTACAACAACACCAAAGATTCCCAAAATAAAATAAAGGGTTCAAATACATTTACCAAAAGCTTTAAAGGGCTCAAGTGCTACAAAGTACATGACTTCCCTAGTGTGCAAGCTAGGATTTGGTTCCAGAGAGAGCGAAAGCAACACCAGAGGCTCGAGGCCTGGTGGAGGATTCATCGACGGGCGGTGACACGTAACATTTTATTTATTTATTTATTTCTGTTTTTGCGGCGAAGGTTAAGCAGTGAAAAAAAAGTCATGTGGGATGGCCTCAAAACAGCAGGTGCAGTGCGACCATTGAAAGGGAAAGCTGGGTTCTTTGTGGTACCATATTTGTGGGTGTGTTTGAAGGTATTTTTAGAACTCACTATTTATACATTTTTAACCACTATTTGGCTAAGATGGTGGCCGATTTATATGGACAGTTGACCTGTTTTTTTGGATAGGTTAAATCTAAAACAAATTCAACATTGTCGGCTTCTCGGATCCACTTATTAATTCAAATGTGATACAAAGTGAGGTCAAAATTTGATATGGCCAAACATTCAATATTTTGGGTCAAGTACAAAACGACTTATTAAATCTTATTTTTATCATATGTTAATTAATAAATGAAAGAATACGCTACTTTATCTTATTTACATGATATACTCATTACATAAAATGCCTTCTTCTCAGACTATTGTTGCTCCAACGACTTATCTAATGATGGGACAAACGATTTTTCAAGCTGAAACTTGAATAAATTCGATTGGGTTGTCTAGTTATTCAATTTTGCTCTAAAACATACTGAGATTTGCCTAAATTCAATCCAAACTAATCTCTCTGTCATAACTAACTTGTCAAAGCCCAAGTCACTGCAATATAATTTAATTCAACCATAGAAAAATAATTAGCTAGTATTATATATAATTATATATTAGGATAAATTATAAATATATCCCTTGAGATTTGCTTAAAATACAGATTGCCCTCTATGGTTTGAAAAATTATAAATACTCCATTGTCAGAATTTTTTTATGGGTAAACTACACTTACACCCCCTAAGGTTTGGGTTTAATACATATCACCCCCTGACGTTTGGGAAATTACACTAACCTTCTGTCATTGTAATTATTTAGACGGCAATGAAGATATTGAACTCATGTACTATCTTTTTTCTTACTTTATTTTACTTCTTTTGTTTTTTTGTTTTTTGTTTTTTGTTTTGTTTTGTTTTGTTTTGTTTTGTTTTTTTTTTTTGTTTTTCCTTTGCTTTACTCTTCTTTTTTTTTTTACAATGTAATTTCCTCTATTTTTCTATTAGGAGTTGTTGCTTTTTATATAAGTGGGGAGATTTGTGAAATGAGACTATTAACCACAGTGATGGAAATGTAATTTTCAGAACGTCAAAGGGTGGCAAGTAATTGGACCAAATCTCAGGGGGTGTCAATATAATTTACCCATTTTTTATTTAATAGAATTAACTGGAAAAAAAAATTTCTAACTGCTCTCTTATATAATAATAAAATTATTTAAATTATTAATTGAAATATATTTTTAAATCATTAAAAACTGTTAATTAATTTGATGATATATTAATAAAATGGGCTATTTATTATGAAATTAGAAACCTTACAGGGCGGGGGTGTAATTTTAAAAATTATAGGAGACAATTCATATTTTAAGCAAATTTCAGAGTGTGTGTTTGTAATTTATCCTTATATATTAATAGTATTCAGATTGTTTGGATTGTGAGAGTTATGCCTAGATACCGATCAAAATTTTGGTTTGAAAAATTTTATCTTAGAAATTGATTAAATTTAAAAGAGTCATATTAATGACAGTCTCAAGAGTTGTTAATAAGAAATAAAAAATGATAAAATATTTATAATTTCAATATAGTTTCTTACATGTTTTAAAATACTTTATATATCTTTTACACAATTCAAAATAATTTTATGAATTAATTACATACAAGTCCTATTTACAAATGTTATTATAGTTTAGGTCCTATTTAAGATTTTTGAACCAGTAAGTCTTATTTAGTAAAACTGAGAATATTATCAATTTTTCCTAATTTTTAAAACTAAAAACATTATCAATTTTGCATAGTAATGTTTCAGATAATTGTTTTACTAATTGATGAAAAAAACAGAGCATGAGATTAAATATTTTTGCCCTTCTACTTATTAGTTTGATTCAACTATCTAATAAAATCGAGAACACTAATAGTTTTTTCCAGTTTTAAAACTGAGAACATTATCAGTTTTTTCATGTTTAAAGTTTTTTTTTTTTTTTTTTTTTGCATATTAATGTTCCATCATCATGCTCCTTTATAGACACAAAATTTTTAGTTTTGCAGAAAAAATAATTTAGTTTTTTCAATGTTTTTAACAAAAAAAAAAAAGATTAGTTTTATTTTTATTTTTATTTTTATTTTCTTGCACATCATTTTTCTTTTAATTTTCTTAATTTGAAAGTTGATGACTTAAATTTTTGAAAATCAAAATATATGTCAAATCATCATGTTCCTTTATAGATAATCATAAATGATAAACAAAATTATTGTTTGAAGGACAATTCCGACTATTAAAAATTTAATGGGACTTGAAGGTTCAAAAA